GCATGCTTAAACTCCTTTACTGTGTTAACCTCTACCACTTCAGCTGGAAGGCTATTCCATGCATCCACTACCCTCTCAGTAAAGTAATACTTCCTGATATTATTTTTAAACCTTTGTCCCTCTAATTTAAGACTATGTCCTCTTGTTGTGGTAGTTTTTCTTCTTTTAAATATAGTCTCCTCCTTTACTGTGTTGATTCCCTTTATGTATTTAAATGTTTCTATCATATCCCCCAGTCTCGTCTTTCCTCCAAGCTATACATGTTAAGATCCTTTAACATCTCCTGGTAAGTTTTATCTCGCAATCCATGAACCAGTTTAGTAGCCCTTCTCTGAACTCTCTCTAAGGTATCAATATCCTTCTGAAGATACGGTCTCCAGTACTGTGTACAATACTTCAAGTGAGGTCTCACCAGTGTTCTGTACAATGGCATGAGCACTTCCCTCTTTCTATTGCTAATACCTCTCCCTATACAACCAAGCATTCTGCTAGCATTTCCTGCTGCTCTATTACATTGTCTGCTTATTTTTTTATGTTAGAGCATTCACTTAACATTATTGAGATTATTAATAATATACCACAATGGCTTGGAGCATGTAACAAGGAAGCCTTTCCATACTTCATCATTTGTTTATGCAGCATAAATAAATGTTAATATTATTAATTTGGACCTAGGCAGACAATTGTATGCCTCTGCAATAGCTATCTTTGTATACCAGCCTGAACCTGACCTCATAATTCATACCTTTTGTGAGTGAGGGACCTGCTTAATTTTAAAAATACATTCTCATTTAGCTAAAATGTGTATTAGGCTTTGATGATTGGATTTAAAGAATCCTGACCATTTTTCATATCCAATCTTCATGAGTGAATAACATAAATCCTCTTTGTAGATTATAATTCACTGTAAAATGTTACAAATATTAGTTTGTCCCAGTAATATATGCATCTCTATTTTACTATTATACTATAAACGCGACAAGAAAAATATAGAATGACGCAAGAAGAATTTATCTTGGAATATGAATCTCTAAAGACCAATATCTGCTCTACAGCATATTGGAAAGTGGAATATCACATTTCAGTAGAACAAAATGGCAAATAGGATATATTTATCATGGATTCTTTCTCCACAGCTATCCTTAGGATGAGAAGATATCAAATGAATAAAATAGCCAATGAGTTAGATGTTTTACTTGAATATATACTAGAATATACTAAACTGTGTCACTAAGACATTTCCTTAAACCTGTCCATGGCTAATACTATTTAATGAGGCAGATGGTGCAAGAGAGTATGGATAATTAGGTAGCACATTTTTCTGCACTTTACAGAGGTTTTTAACACTGTCAGCAATGATATGCAGTTGCACAAGCATGACTGCTCCAGTAATGGGTTCTAGAAAGCTACTGCCTTTTTTTCTTTCACAGAAGATTCACCGGATACCAAATCCAAAACCATGCTTCCGTCAACAAAACTGAGTTTTGCTCAGTGACAGGTACATGGATGTCCCAACAAGTAATATTAAAGGATCACTATAGTGTCAGGAAAACAAATCCATTTTCCTGACACTATAGTGCCCTAGGGATGCCCCCACCCTCAGGGTCCCTCTCCTGTGGCGCTGAAGGTTAAAACCCCTTCAGCAGCTTACCTTAATCCAGCGCCGGGCTCCCTCGGCGCTGGTGACCTCTTCACCCCCTCCGACCTCAGCTCCTGAGTGGAGCGGAATGCGCATGCACGGCAAGTTCGGTGCATGCATTCAAACCGTCCATAGGAAAGCATTTCTCAATGCTTTCCTATGGACGTTCTGCACGCTGGAGGCGAATTTCAGGAAGACAGCCACTAGAGGTTGGAGTAAACATAGCAGTTTTTCTGACTGGGTAACTATAGTGTCCCTTTAAATAAAAAAAATGCACAATAGTGCCACCTTCCTTGCTTTCTGTTTTCACCAGGAACAGTTGAGACCTCGCAGAAAGCAGATGCATGTTGTTTTTAAGTAGACAGGACCCAATCGCTGCAAATGGCTTTCATTCAGTTGTGCTAATATGGTTCACATTGTTTGTATCTCATAAAATGGAGGCTTATGGAAGCATTGTGCATGCATTAGAGAGTTCAATACATTTGAATTGAAGAGTTATTATGTGCACATAACTAGTAATTTTTAAACCCAAAGAAAGAAGGCAGATTTCCTGAATGGATCACACAGAAACATGTGACCTCGGGTATTTACTGCAGGAGAAAATCTTCTTTAGCACATTATTTTGATAATACATCAAAAATGGGGGTAATGTCCACCGTGGTATTTCCATGTAAGAAATTTGATTTGATTTTTCTCTATTTTTCTTAAAAAATATTGTGGGCTTAAAATTTTTATTTATATATAGTTACATATAGTTAAGCGATAAAATATGTGCAAGTTGAAAGCTTTTCTTTTACCTATGAACTAGCCATCAAAGTGTGAGCTCACCTGCTAAAGCTGTTAGAAACTATTTTGCAACCATTTGATGCTTTTCAAAATTGCCTGATGACAGTGAGAGCTCGTGATTTTGCAAAGCGCTTGTTGCAAAATAGTGAACTTTGGCTTAGATAACTGACAATCTGAACAAAGGTGCATAAAGATGACGGTCAGAAAGGGGGAACGGGTAAGCTAGGCTAGGAGATTTATTTAAAAAAAAATCAATATATATAAACTACAAAAATAATAAGATGGTATATTGTAACACAAAGACTATATTAAGATATTAAAACATTTTATTGACAATGTTCTTTAAAAGTTCTCTATATCACAAGAGGTGGGTAGACCTAGAGCACCTCATCTTTGGTCGGGACCACCCCTCCCAATACATGTGGATTCCAAAACGGCATAGGCCTCTGCCTCCCCCCACCTTTCCAACGATTACCCATTCCTTGGACCTCTGGGATCGCCTAAGCGCCAAATTCGACCTATCTACTGGCCTATCACCCCTCACCCCAATCCTCCGTAAAAAATCCAACTCGGTAGCTTTGCAGCATCAGACACGGTTCGCTTGGCAGCCACCTCGGCCCTGACAGGGTTTGATAGGGACACCCTCAACTCCCCGGCCAGAAAGAGCCAAATATCAAACCTCTAGACATCCCTAACCACACATCACACCCAAATAGCAATCCCATACATCGCAGCATGGGAGAGTGACTTGGGACCCCCTGAGGACGCCACTGACTGGGCAGACATCTGGACTGCCACCAAATCCATCTCCACCTGCGTAACCCATAAGGAACAGGCCTACAAAATGCTCTTTAGGTGGTACCTCACCCCCCCTCCGCCTAAAGGCAATGCAACAACTTCCCAACAACTTATGTTGGAAACTGTGCGGCGAGGCTGGCACGTTTCTCTACTGCTGGTGGACCTGCCCCAAAGTCGCTCCCATATGGACAACGCTAACTACACTCTTAACCAGATTACTTAACAAACCAGTACCTCTAGACCCTTGGGCCCTTCTCCTCTCCAAACCCATCGACATCTTCACTCGTAACGAAAACAAACTCATTGCCAGAATAGCCCTAACCACCCTAAGGGCAATAGCGGAAACATGGTCCACACCGCGCATCCCAACTCAACTGCAGATACACACTAAAATAACTGACAGCGTAAACATGGATAAGCTGACTGCACAAATACATGACACCCCCAACTCATTCCACAAAGTGTGGGACCCATGGCTGGAAGGGAACAATACCCTCCCATGGTGACCCGCGGCAATTCCACCGACCAACACCACCCAAGCACAACCACAACATGATGCAAATCTGAGGCTCGCCCCCACCTACCACCCTTAACCTACCCCACCCCACAAAGGGCCTTGGGGGGTACCCAGGAGGGCAACACCATCCCGCCTTTTCTCTCCCACAACACCCCCCGCCCCAGTCTCCCACACACCCACCTTACCCGCCCCATCGCTCCCTTGAACAGTGAAAATGACACACCCACTGGGCTCTGCTGATTCAGCCTCTCACAACAAACCTATTTCAGACAGCAACCCCCAAACCAGCCACCCCACCCAACAGACTCGGGCTAACATCTCTGGCACAGTTGACTCATAAGTTATACCTCTCCCCTCAGCCATACCAGGCGACAAAACGGACCATCGCCTAATCTGAGACCGCACAAGACACCACCACACACCGGTCCACAACAGGCGGTGTAACACACACTCTCGGAGACTTCAATGCCAGACCTACCCCCGGACAACTCAATGTTATTCCCCACTGTTCTTACCCACCTAACCATTTATTCTTTCTGTAAGAATGTATACTTGACCTATGAAAATGAAAATAAAGAATTATCAACAAAAAAAAGTTCTCTCTAAAGCTAACCCTTGTATCGAACAGATTTAAAGGGCAATAACATTGTCTGTATTTTTATTTGCTAATGTGTCCTTCATACATGCCTATATTTTCATTTGACATATTCCGTACTTGCATTCCAGTATTTTTGGCTTTTGGTACAATATAGTATAGTATTTTTAAGCCAGACATATAAATATGGACTGTTGTGTCCAAATGCAAATAAATATATTACTATCCACTACTCAGCATTTCTGACAGTTCTGAAACAGAATGGGATTATAGCCTGTGCAGATTCTGTAGCAGTTGTGCGTAAATTTGGCATTGAAGCTGTCTGTGAGTAACTTTTCACACATTCCTCAGTCAGCCATTTTGCTTTTGTCACCCTTATACCAGCAGTGCATCATGGGAACTGCTATTCACAAACACATGCAATGCTAGGGTTTTACATCACTGTACTTGCTTGTCCCTTCAAAATGCAGGGCCCTAATACCTTTATCCATCATGCAAAGCATTGCTCGACATTTTGCCACTGCAGCTGCATTTGTTGTGGGTTAATCCAAAGCAGTTCAGCTTGTGTCATTTTTGTGTCAAGAGTTGCACTTACATATATTTTCTGGAAGCAGAATACATCAACCAAATGAGAAATTCTGAGCTTGACGTTGGATGCTGTTTACCTTGCAATATGATGTGTTGAATCTGTAGAAGTTTTATATTTTATGGACCTGTCGCTAACAGAGATCTTTGCTCCGCAGACTGCGCGTGTGGTTGACCGCTCACGCATGCGCAGCCGTTCATTCCATTGTGTTGGTGCGCGTGCGCTTGGGTCTGTGCCTTGGCGCGTGCTCACTGATGTAGTGGCGCATCTGGCTGTGCATGCATGTGTGTGTGTCGATGGACGGCTGGTTGCGCATGTGTACTTTTTCTAGAAATAGAGACGTCATTACATAGACATCGTCCTCCTTCGTGCATCAGACTTCATTGCGCTGACGTCACGTTCATTACGGAAATGCAAGTTCCGATGGACATTTTCCCGGTCATTTTTGATTCCTTATTATTATATTACTATCTCTACTCGACACATGTGTTCCATTACAGCTGATACTCCCCAAAAATGGGTAAGTGACACTTCAGTGTTTTCATTTTTGATTGATTCTTTATTAATTAATTGACAATGTTAATCAGATGTTCCCCTATAAATTGCATTCTATGTGTGTGTTTGATAGCTTGACAAAGACCTTTACAGGTCAAAATGTTGCGATTTTGCTGTGGGTTAAATAAATTGCCTTTTTCTTGAAATCTGGAGTGCCTGTACCTTTCTACTTTTGTTTTTTTTGAATCTGTAGAAGGTAGGCTCTGAGTGTACATGATATCTATAAGTATGTTTTAAAGAGGAAAACCCACCTTACACTGAAAAAAGAACAAAGGTTATTTACTAAAGTGTAAGCAAATGGGCTTTCAAAGGGGATTCAACATTTTGAAAAAAATCTTACACGGTTCAAAAATCATGTCATAATATCTTAAATTCACTTTGAACTCTTGAAAATTCACTACTTTGTGAATAACCTTGTCCATGTTGTCAAGCAGTTTATTTTAAACCAAACATCAAGAATCTATGACTAATGGACTCTACTGGACTAGTTTTGCATTTTAGTATGACTAGTCTAACACATTTATACAATTACTGATCTATTTGCGATGGTACGGGGATAGTTGGTTTGAAACACACTATTGTATGGTATCTTTAAGTACTATTTTGAGTTCCAAATAGAAAGTACTTGTGTCATACAGTGCATCCTATCTACACTATTTTGATTTAGATTTGTTGCTAGCTATTGGAAAACTGCTCTGGAACTCTGGAAGTAAAAATCTCTGGAAGAAAAATGTAAATAGGCAGACTTTCATACATTTATACCAATGCAGAAAAAAAATCCAAACTGAGGACATGGGAAACAGAGCATTTTACTCAGCAATCTACAAAAAACAGATTTGCTACATTTTAGACAGAATTGACAAAATGATAAAATGGTGTTTATTCATCAAATGTGTTTCAGCTATTTTGGCCTCAGTATAGAAATAAAATATATGTCAGTTCACAATTCATTGTTTAATGAAAAAGAAGATATAGGAGATATGAAAGAGAAATTCAGATAGCTACACTCAGGACAGTCGCTACAGTCAGAGACGTTCTTTAGAACTCTGCTGTCAGATGAACTTTGCGGTTTTAAAAATGCATGATATCATAAAATGGGCAGCATTCAACAGTATGCGTTGCGTTTCCACATTAAAACCCCAATGCTTTCATTTACAATGATGACGGAGTTGGTGTATTTTCGAAGAGGCTCTATATATAATTTTAGCTAGAATTTCCACTTTAGCAAATCCATCTACTATTTGCCAGATACAACAGTTAAATTATAAGTATCTGTCGGCTGCATCCAAATTTTCATATACATTGTATTATATGCAGACAGCACACATGTCATGGCATTCTGAAAAAGTGGCTTATTTTCATTGAAATTCCGTGTTCAAAACTAGATGACAGAAAACAAATTACTACGGAGAAGGTCTCTTGAACTATTGATCTTGAATCAAATCACACATACATATAGGCATATTTTTAATTATTTCAATAGACTATAAGTATAACTATGCTCCAAGATCTGCTTTAAACACACCACTTGGCTTAATGTTCTGACGGTCTTAACCTTTGCTTTATATATTGCTAAACTATGTAAATTGAAAGCAATACTGGGCAGCCTCCACTGGAAGAAAATCATATATTCAATATCAGCCTAAATGAGCTGGCAAGCAAATCTATTGCCCAGTGCCCAACATAAATTGAACCGACAGATAAAAATGAGAGAAGTTCATGCACATTTATGTAACTTGAGCTCTTGGGTAATAATGTATTTCTTTTCATTCAGCATTTTTCTGGAGTGTTGGACTTTGTATGTGGACAGTGCAGCTGAAGATGCAATTATTAGGATACAAACCACTACAAAAAATGCTAAATCATCTCTTTTTTTTTAGCATTTCCCGACCTTATGAACTTTTTGAGACTATTTAGACCAGGGGTCCTCAAACTCCAGCTCCCCCCCAGATGTTGCTGAACTACAACTCCCATGATTCTCTGGCTATCTATGTAATTCAAAGAATCACGGGAGCTGTAGTTCAGCAACATCTTGAGGACCCCTGATTTAGACAAAACAATCATTTAAAATGTAGTTTAATTTATTTTTTGAATTAGTGAATGATTTGCTATTATTTTGCTATTATGACACATAGTTACATTGCTGAAAGTTGTAGACTGGCAAGGAAACTCAGATTTTTTTTTCTCATCTGAATATATTGGTAGAACCTTCAGGCCAATGTACTATTGCAGTGAGTATATAGCGTGTATTTTAGGTTTGAGTGAAGAGTCCCTGTGAGGATTTAATTAGAGTTTTTACCCAACTCTAGTAGATAGGCCATTATTGTAGTTTTTAGATATCTCATTTAATACATTTCCGGACCAATTGCACTTGTCCTAGAAACTAAAAATAGAACATAATTAGAAATGATATCTTAATGTAACACCTTCGTCTACACATTTGATTTGAACAAACATAATCAATTTATTCATTAAAGCTCATTGAACTTTTTTAGAAATAGTTATATAGTTACATAGGCTGAAAAGAGGACATGCATCCCTTAAGTTCAGCCTTTCTCACATCTGTTTTTTTTTGTTCATAAAAAGAAAGGGAAAAAACAAGTTTGAAGCACATTCCAATTTTGCAACAAACTATGAAAAAGATTACTTTTTGACGCGAGAATGACAGTCAGAGCTCTTCTTGGATCAAGAAGCTATTACAGCACAAATTAAAAATCATATCTCTGTTTTAACATGTATACAGACTCTGATAAAATCACCTCTTCAGGCAGAAAATTCTACATCCTTACTGCAAAAATCCCTTAATTTCCGATAGACGAAATCTCCTTTCTAATTAGATTTCCTGGTAATGGTTTATATTGCCGTAGAATATATTTGGATGATGATATTATATCCCCACTGAAGTGTGTTTTTCTAAACTAAACAGATTAAAAATTTGTTTAGTTCCTTCATAACTAAAATGTTCCATTCCTTTCATTATATTTTGTAGCCCACCTCTGCACTTTTTCTAGTGACATAATATCCTTCTGTAGAACAGGAATCCAAAATTACATAGCATTTTCAAGGAGTGGCCTTGCCATTGATTTACAAAGAGGCAAAATTATATTTTCATCCTGAGAATATATGTTACTTTTTATACATTAATATACCTTCCTGGCCTTAGCAACTGTTGATTGACATTTTAGATGTAGTTTATGATATATAAATTAATGTCCTATAATCAAAGAATTGCTTGCAAAGTTTTATCAAAACTATAATTTCACTATTAAGCTAAATCATTTAGGAACAGCAAAAGTATAACTGCATGAATATTAAATTATGGTATAGACCCTGCAAACATGTTTGTAAAATATTCAGATGAAAGAACAGCTTATAGAGCCTCAAGGCCATCAGACCCGGTGACTTTGTTAACAAGAAATAAACATTGAATTATTGAAGCTGGCTATCTAAACTAGAATTCACTGGAACATGCTGCCTTTAAACAGAGTTTCATCCTACCAAAATATCAAGCCATTTATCTATGAGGATAATCCTCTACACAACAGAAATGTTTGATCGTAAACCAGTCAGGTATTGACTTCTCCTGCTGATGTCTATCAATTCAGGAATCAATGTAAAACATGCTAAAACTCATCAGATTTTTCATTGTGAGCCAATCATGTTTTCTTTTATCATTATTCTTTAGCGATTAACAGTATTGATTGAGAAAAAGTTGAATTAGAAGACACAGTTTAAAGAATATCCATTCTATCCTTTGTAGACAATTTCTAAGTTGACTTTGTTCGATATACTCAACTCTCCAACCAAGCCCCTCTGTATTATAGATTTGCTCAAGATTCGACAAATATTTATTTTTAGACTTTAGGAGCCATACATATATTCATGCTAGACAACATATTGAACTAATAGTAGTCAGGTAATAGATATAAACATAGAATTTTATATAACATACCCAGAAAAAAAAATTTTGCAATATTATTAGGAGTCATGGTAATCAGACCAACAGAGGTAGTCATAATCTGGGTTAGCGCTAATGCAGTGCTTACCTTTTGAATGATATGAAACTAAAACATTTTTTGAAAATATATATTTCACCTTTTCAACAATTGAAGATCTAAGGCTTTTTAATAATGATTTGTCAGTCAAGACAGCAAACATAAATAATACATTTTATAACAATTTAGATAATTTATCAAGTGCACATTCTTAATTTTTGAGCAGATGAGGAATACTTGCTGTAAAACTGATGTGAAACTTGTGAGGTGTGCATATTTTCACAGATCACAGAGAAGATCAGCACATTGCCGGCTCTAGCATTCATATTGTTAAGGTTGCTCACGGAAAAGGCATGGACATGTGCGTGCAAAATTCATGGATTTCTACTGGCAAATAAATGGACTTTGCATGAGCAATCAATTGCTTGGATCTTGTGTGAGTCCTTGTTTTGTAAAAGTAAATACTAAGCTTTGTCCAAGATATTGCAATGAAAAGAAAGCTAGGTGCAAATGAAAGTAGCTCAAAGACCAAAATCAACTTTAGGTCAATTAAAATAAAACCGGATGGTGCTATCAAACTACCTAACAAATGTATGCATTGTATAGTTCTGATGAACGGAAATAAAATATTGTTGTGAAACATAAGTCTTGATATTTGTGGATATGCTTTTGATATGATTAAATATGTGTATATATGTTTTAATATTATTGAAACTATTTAAATATTGTAACATTTATTTTTCTATTTATATTTCAATATATTTATTTATATATCAA